ATATATATATATATATATGAGAAAGACTAAAATTTTAGTTCCATAGCCATCGGTCCGTTTTTGCTAATAACACCACTAAATAATGATCTCGTGAAAAAAAATTAAAGAACCTAACCAAATAAGTGGCCAACAGAAACAAGGGATGGATCCTTCTCAAGTTCAATAACTTCAACTATAGAGGTGTTTTTCCCTTTCAAAAACTGGTTGTACCATTTTGCAGAAAGCTTTGGGTATCTCTTCAACTCTGGATCATTTCTATCAATGTAGTATAGGCCAAAGCTCGACTTGTATTCATCCAGCAACTAACAAATCCAGAAAAGACCATGCAAAATACCCCTTTATATTTAATCCATCTCTGAGAAAATTTGGGGTGATATATTAACAATATATTTCGATGGATTAGGATTAAAAAGGAATTTTGTGATACGTATGAACTAGATGAATTAGTGCAGTGAATGCATACCTCAAGGCATCAAGAACGCCCCCAATATATCCATGCAAGTATTTCACCCTTGACACGTCTTGTAGTGACGAGTTGCTAGGTGTCCGTTGTCCTAAAAAATTATAATTTGTTCAGTTAATAACAACATATTTAAACTGACCATGTTCCACATGTTAGATGTAAGACTCATATAGGTGTTAGTTTAGTTGTTTTGTATATATAGTGTAGTTTCTCTATTGTAAACAGTTCAGTTTTCCCTTTTCAATAACAGAAGAAGTTTCCCTCTCAGTTCTCTGAGTTCTCTCAAACGGATATTCACTCCTTCACATGGTATCAGTTACACCACGATCCTAGGTCTCTCTTATGGCTTCCGCAGAAAATCCGTTTCACCTTTATGTCTTCTCCAATGCAATCTCATCCAAACTAACGGATGATAACTTTCTCACCTGGATGCAACATGCAGAAGCGACGATCAAGGGTTTTCGCTTACAATGACACATCGATGGAGCCACATCAATTCCTGCAAAATTCTTGACTACGGATGATGAACGGAAGGGTTCGGTAAATGTTGCATTTGAAAATTATGAGCAACAAGACAACCTATTGAAATCTTGATTGCTTGAATCTATGGATTCACAATTTAAGATCCGCATGGTTGGGTGCGTATGGTCGCATCAGATCTGGCATGCCTTGAAAGTGTATTTCGCTTTTCAGACGCGAGCGCATGTCAAGCAATTAAAGATTCAACTTCGCAACATCAAGAAAACTGGATCGATCGCCGAGTATCTCGTCTAGGTGAAACAAATCGTCGAAACTCTGGCTGCAATCAAATCGCCGTTATCAGTTAAAGATCACATAGACACAATCTTTGATGGTCTTGACGAAGACTATGATGGATTCATCACTTCGTGTATCACACGGATTGAAGCATACACTATGGCAGAAATTGAAGCTCTATTGATGCATAAAGAAGAATGTCTTGAGAGGCATAAGCAATGTGAGTCACTCACTCCTCAGGCAAATATTGCTCAGTCTCAACACAAGAAAGGTAATCTTGTGACCAATCGCTGGCGTGGACGTGGTCAAAATCGTGGAAGAGGCAGATCTGGCCGCTCGAATCAACATAACTTTGGTGGAGGTTGAGGGCAATGAATTCAATGTCAACTGTGTGGCAAATTGGGACATTCTGCCTATCATTGCTGGTCTCGTTTTGATGAAAATCTCTCAGACCCCAAGACTACTCAGCATAACACATCTGATGCTGTTATACAAGAGCCTCTCTATCAAGCTATGATAGCAACCTCTGCAACTTAATCTTCTTTGGATGACACATGGTACCCGGATACAGGTGCAACAAATCATTTTACTAATGACTTATCAAATCTAATGATCAAAACTCCTTTTGTAGGATCAGAGAATGTAGTAGTTGGTAATGGTAATTTCCTACCTATCCATAATACTAGCACTTCTAAACTCAAAAATCTTTCCAACAATATTGCTTTTACTCTTAATAAGCTGTTACATGTACTAGATATAACTAAAAACCTATTAAGTGTTGCTCAATTTGCCAAAGAAATCTCATGTTTCTTTGAATTTCATTCCACTGATTGTTTTGTTAAATCTCAAGGCTCTCAGAAGCTTCTACTACAAGGGAAACTTAAAGATGGTCTATATGCATTTGAGAATTTGCAAATTGTTCATCCTAATAATGATTTTCCTATTTCAGCTTTATATTCATCTACCACATGTAATAGTTTACCAATATGGCACTCTAGGCTAGGCCATTGTGCAAACAAAATTGTCAAGCATGTCTTAAAACAGTGTAATATCTCTATACCACTACATGACAATGCTACAATGTGTGGTTCTTGTTGCTTAGGCAAAATGCATAAATCTTCATTTCCTATTTCTAAAACTGTCTATACTCAGCCATTACAATTAGTCTATTCTGATATTTGGGGACCATCACCCATACCTTCAAAAGAAGGATATAGATATTATATTTTTTTCTTGATGCATATTCAAAATTCTCTTGGGCTTACTTCTTAAAATACAGGTCTCAAGCACTAAACTATTTTCTTGAATTTAAAAAGATGACAGAGTTACAATTTCAAAAAAAATTGCAAATTCTCCAAAATGATGCTGCAAAAGAATATCAAAGTTTCAGTTCTATCCTCAAAGAGAATGGCATAATTCATAGATTTAGCTATCCTCACACGCATGAGCAGAATGGTGCTCCTGAGAGGAAGCATCGTCACATTACTGAAACCGGTCTCACCTTACTAGCAGAATCTGGTTTGTCATTTGAGTATTGGTACCATGCGTTTGCTTGTGCTATCTTTGTTATAAATCGCATTCCTACACCTGCTCTGAAATTAAAATCTCCTTTTGAAACTCTATTTCATAAGAAACCAGATTACAACATATTTAGAAGTTTTGGCTGTAGGTGTTATCCATATCTTCGACCTTATAATCAAATATAAAATGGATTACAGGTCCAAACCATGTATCTTTTTAGGCTATAGTTGTAATCATAAGGGTTATAAATGTCTTGATGCAATAAGAAGAATTTATATTGTTAAGCATGTTGTATTTGATGAATTTGATTTTCCTATGCTTAGTAAAAGACACGAAAATCTGAGTTGTCTTCCTACTACTAGTAACACTCATCCTCCTATTATACTTGTTGTTTCTAATTGTAGTGCACCTCAAATTGAGGATACTCCTCCACCTACAGGTCCTTTAACCAATGTCCCTACAATTATGCCTTCTCACACTGATGGAACTAGTTTAACTGATAATACTATTAATCCCTCTGTTGAGACTGTTTTTGATACAGGTCCTAGTAGTGGAGCTACACCCTTAGTCATTAATAATCATCCTATGGTCACAAGAGGCAAGGCTGGAATTTTTAAACCGAAGGTCATGGTTGTTGAAATGGAACCAACTACAGTTAGAGAAGCTCTTCAATCTCCTCAATGGGTTCAAGCTATGCATGAGGAACTCAACGCCTTAGTCAAAAACCAAATGTGGGATCTTGTCCCTTTACCTCCGCATAGAAAACCTATGGGCTCCAAGTGGATTTTTAGGCTCAAACACAATCCTGATGGAAGCATTTCTAAATATAAGGTTCGGCTAGTGGCAAGAGGATTTACCCAACAACATGGTTTGGATATTATCAAGAAACGTTTAGCCCTGTAGTTAAACATATGACTATTAGAGTTATACTGTCCATTGCACTGTCTAAAGGTTGGTCTGTTAGACAAGTGGATATTAATAATGCTTTTTTGAATGGAACCCTACAGGAAATGGTCTACATGAAACCACCAGAAGGGTTTCACAACAGCAATCCAAATCTGGTGTGTAGATTAAAGAAGGCAATCTATGGGTTAAAACAAGCTCCAAGAGCTTGGTTTGGCAAACTAGCCTCTGCACTTGTATCCTATGGATATGTTTCAGCTAAATGTGATCATTCATTATTTATACATAGTACTGCTAACAGTATCACATATATGCTTGTGTATGTTGATGACATTCTTATCACAGGAAACAATGTTGACTTTGTGCAACATGTTATCTCTAACTTAAATAAAATTTTCCCCTTAAAGGATCTTGGAGAATTGCACTACTTTCTTGGAATAGAAGCCAAAAGTCTCAATGATGGTAAGTTATTCTTAAGTCAGTCCAAATATGCTTCTGACTTGTTGCATAAACTTATGCAGGATGCCAAACCTGTGAAGACTCCTCTTGTTCCTGGATGCAAATTTCAGTCTACAAGAACAGAAGCAGCTGAAGATCCAAGCCTGTATCGTTCTATTGTTGGTGCTCTTCAGTATCTAACCATTACCAAACCAGATCTTGCTTTTACAGTCAACAAACTGTGTCAATATATGCACAGGCCATTACAAAGTCACTGGAAGATTGTTAAGAGGGTATTACGGTACATAAATGGGACGCGTGATCATGGTCTGCTCTTTGAAAAGTCACATAATTTGCATCTAATCGACTACTGTGACAGTGATTGGGCCTCTGATCAAGATGATATGCGGTCCACCTCTGGTTACTGTTTGTTCCTTGGCAGCAACATGATATCCTGGATGGCCAAGAAGCAACAAGTCGTGTCCAGAAGCAGCATAGAGGCAGAGTATAAAAGCCTTGAAGCTTTGGTAGCAGAACACTACAAGAAAATTACATATTAGCGAGGGACTATTCCCTCGCTATTTCGTCTCTAATCTCTCGCTAATCAGATTTGCGACGGAATAGTGATGAAATTGCGAGAGACCATTCCCTAACTAAATACAGTTAGCTAATTAGCGAGGGATTAAATCCCTCGCTAATCTGTAGCAAAATCCCTTCTCACAAGGCTTATATTAAAAGTAACCACTCCTCCTCTGATTTGGTGTGACAATTTGGGAGTTGTTATGCTTACTTCTAACCCATTTATGCACTCCAAAACAAAGCATTTTGAGCTAGATTTATGGTTTGTTCGTGAGAAGGTTGCTAAAGGAGAAATAAATGTCAAACATGTGCCAACTCAGTTTCAGATTGCAGATCTCTTAACTAAAGCTCCTTCTAGTAATCAGTTTCTTACTCTCAGGACCAAACTAAATGTGCACTCTCTTAGAACATAGTTTGAGAAGGGGTGTTAGAGGTAAGACTGATATAGGTGTTAGTTGAGTTGTTTTGCATATATAGTGTAGTTTCTCTATTGTAAACAGTTCAGTTTTCCCTTTTCAATAACAGAAGAAGTTTCCCTCTCTGTTCTCTCTGTTCTCTCTATTCTCTCAAACGGAGATTCACTCCTTCACACCACACAAGCACCCTATATATCGTCAACAGGATTTCCCAGTTTACCATTGATACATGTACTATAAATGGTTGAGTTCAAAATTCCAAACAACTTAGAATGGCAATACATTGGAAAATACTGGTTAATCTCCATGTGCCATCAACTAATGACAATATGACATTGTCAGTTACAAGTATTAACAAAATGGGAAAACGGGTAAGCAAGTAACATGATTGAAACGTTAAATGTCTAATGCTACCAAGTTAGTTTGTCTATTACAACAAAATTTTGATCCCATTTTAATATTTAACTCTCATAACAAGGAGAGATGATTTTACTAAAAAATATTCAAAGCAATCAAATATAATCTTCAGAGAAAGAGAGAGAGAGACCATTTTGCAAATTTTTAGTTTATGATATTTACTGTTTACCCATATGTGACTAATATGTTTAAAATATTTGTTTACTGACGTTTAAAATATGCACAATTTGTACTTTATGTTTGTATATTTTGGGTGTGTTGAGTAAGTTATTCTAGCTACTGGGGTTGATGTGAACATTTGCAACGTGCACAACAGTATACCTCTTCACTTGGCCTTAGCTAGGGGTGCAAAGGCATGTGTTGGACTGCTTCTAGCTGTTGGAGCAGATTATAATTTGCAAGTTTTCATGAATTCCCATTTCCCTGTTTGATCACATAAATATAATTTTAACTAATGGACAGACAGGTATTTTTATGCCTGTCTGCATTTTTTTTGGTAAGATGGCACAAAGCTGTGCTGTTAGAATAACTGAGCGACCAGGAGTTGCAGTTTTTGATCTCCCAGGTCTCCTAGGTCTTGGGGGGGTTGCTCTTAATTTTATAGTTTCTTTTAAATGATTGAAATCTTTAATGTGATAAATTAAAACTGATAATTTGTTTGTGATTTTTTTTATTGTAATTTGGTGGCCAAATTAATCTTGATTGACAATATTTGTCCATTATATATAGACAAAAAAAGAATCCAAAAACAAGCATCGGTTTTTCTGAACCGATGTAAAAATGTATACATTTTCTACGTCGTTTTATTCTACATCGATTTTAGAACCGATGTAGATGACTTTAGAGAACCGATGTAGAATATGCATCTTGTAGTAGTGGTAATGTCACATTGAATATATGTCAAAGTCTATCTACCAAAAAATATATGTTAGAGGCTTTTATGATTTATTACTTACTTCATTCATCTAGATAGTGGAGAAGGGTTAGCCAACGCTAGATATGCAGTGTTTGGACTTGACTATGAAGGACATGGACGCTCTAGAGGTGTTCGTTGTCTCATAAATAAGTTTGACGATGTTGTTAATGATTGTGAATACTTTTTCAAGTCAATTTGTCGTAGATTTCAATTTCTTGCTTTATAAGCAATGATCTTAGTATTGAAATAATTTGAAACTTCTTATGTTGAGTTGCTCTCTCGTTTGAGTAATTTAGAGTTCCAAGAGTATAAGGAAAATACTACATTCTTATATAGGGATTCAATGGGAGGAACAATGTGTTTATTATTGCATAAAAAAGACCCTTCATTTTGGGATGGAGTTGTTCTTGTTGCACCTATGTGTAAGGTATGGATGTTTTTTGTGAAAGTATACATATCTTTATTCTAAACTTTATTTTTTCTCTTTTTATTAAGCATACCATGGTTTCATTTTTACCTACAAAATATGGGACTTGCTTAACACAAACATGTTCAATGTGTAGCAGATATCAGACAAATTGATGAAGCCAATTCCCATGGTTACGAACATACTAACAAGACTAGAAGATGTCATACCAACGTGGAAAATAATTCCCACAAATAATATCATTGACTCTACCTTCAAAGACCGTTCTAAAGGAGAAGCTGTGAGTTTTAGGTGATTCTTTTATGCATATGATAAAAAAAGAAGCAACATAACAATAAATATTTTTATTTTATGTTTTTCGTATAAATATAAGGCCATAATGTGAGGTTAAAAGTATGTCCTTTTAGATCCACTTTACCTAAAGAGGTATATTTGAAGCGAACAAATTGTGCTTTACATTTTATTTCTTTATATATGCATCAAGCACTACATAATTTATTTTCTATATTCAAACCACCTTAATTTATCTCATAAGAGAATAGGTCATTTGACCTATATAAAAAAAATTTCATTACTGTTTCTAACAAGTCATCTTTCATTTTAAACCCACATAATTTTATATTTCTCGGTGAATATACAAACATTAATCAATTGTTAGTTCAAAACTATACTCTTATCTGAAATTTTCCATTTCTTTAACAACATAACATACCACGTGGAATGTTACAGTCAATTGTGTGTTATACAATACCTACGCAGCTTTACTTGCAAGCTCTTTCCTTTCTCATATATCCGAGTGAAAACTTACACATGTAGCTAGGCTTTCTCCAAATAAATTCTTATTTCATTTATGTACACAAGGGAAAATATGCATAGCTAATAATCGGTTAGGGATCTTGAAATTTTGTCAAGTTGAAATAATAAAATATTTTATAATATTTTTTTATTAAAAATATAATAATTTTTTTAAAAAATAAGTATATTTTTGTGATAAAAAATTTAATATACCTACTTTTTTATAAATTAAAATTTTCTTATAAATAGAGTGACAATTTCTCTCTTTTATGTCTAATATTATATTTAAGTGTGATTTTGAAATTTTTTGTGACTTATTTAATATTAAATGAACAATATAAATTATTAAGATAAAGATAATATAATTAATATTTATTTTCTCTTGTATCTCTTCTAAATTTTTATGGTCATTTAAAATAAAAATATTTTATGAGAATGATGATTATTTTTCTATAATAGTAATTTTTTTTATTAAATATGTTAAAGTAAAAAAGAATAAAAACTTTTTGTGACAATTACACTTGTTCCTCTTAATTTGGACCATTTCCTACCAACACATTATGTACATATACAAGATTAAAAGAGTTAAAAAATTTTAAAAAGTTATATTTGTAAAATAAATTATGACATCTTTAATGAATAAAATAGTAATAAATCCTTCAATCAAAAAATAAAATACATTATAATAAAAAAAATTAAGACAATTTTGTTATAAAATGAAAAAAATTACATAATAGAAAAAAAATATAAATAAAATATTAATATATTTTAACATATTATATATATAAAAAAAATAATCATTATAAAAGAATGTTATACATAGTCACATATAAATAGTATTATTATAGTTTATATTTTCATATATTAACGATATGTCAACATATATTATATCTATAATATATGTAAAAATAATTTGTAATAACAAATATTATATTTCTATAAGATATGTGTCATTACTTAACAATTTTATATATATATATATATATATGAGAAAGATTAAAATTTTAGTCCCATAGCCATAGGACCGTCTTTGCTAATAACACCACTAAATAATAATCTTGTGAAAACAAAATTAAAGAACCTAACCAAATAAGTGGCCAACAGAAACAAGGGATGGATCCTTCTCAAGTTCAATAACTTCAACTATAGAGGCATTTTTTCCTTTCAAAAACTGGCTGTACCATTTTGCAGAAAGCTTTGGGTATCTCTTATAAATTAAAATTTTCTTATAAATAGATTAACAATTTCTCTTTTTTTCTGTCTAATATTATATTTAAGTGTGATTTTGAAATTATTTGTGACTTATTTAATATTAAATGAACAATATAAATTATTAAGATAAAGATAATATAATTAATATTTATTTTTTCTTGTATCTCTTCTAAATTTTTATGGTCATTTAAAATAAAAATATTTTATGAGAATGATGATTATTTTTTTATAATAGTAAATTTATTTATTTTTTTATTAAATATGTTTAAGTAAAAAAGAATAAAAACTTTTTGTGACAATTACACTCGTTCCTCTTAATTTGGACCCTTCCCTACCAACACATTATGTACATATACAAGATTAAAAGAGTTAAAAATTAAAATAAAATTTTTTAAAAAATTATATTTGTAAAATAAATTATGACATCTTTAATGAATAAAATAGTAATAAAT